TTCTAGTAGAACTGGGCAAGCCATGGCATTTGATGATAGCTGATGTTACCTGTTAGCTTGAAAAATGTGGTGACATTTGTGTGCTATAAAAATGTTAAATGTTGTTAACCTTGGACAGCAGAATGTGACTTAAAGTCACTGCAGTGAACATTGGGTTATATGAGAAGATGTCATGTTATGGTGATAGCAAAGACTACCTTGGCAGTCATCTTGACTCAGCTGCTGCTTATTCATTGATCTCGAAGTGAGTCAAGCTAAAGTTTGTCAGCTCTCCATCCCTAGCCCAAACACTTTCTGATAGTTGAACCAGCTTGCAGTCAAGGTGATGGGAATTTTTCTAGTGACGTACATGCCAGCTTGAAAGTTTCTACAATGCTTTATTTAAGGATCTGTCACAGTAGTTGTACTAAAATGCCACCAGTTCTTACCTCACTGTCTCTAGTTCACTCAACCATCCATTCTGTCACGGCTTCTACATCTTGCACTATTTTGCCTTCTCTTATTTCACTGCACCTGCTTGCAGATTATGTTTTTCTTAAGATATGTGTGCGTGTAATGAAACAAAGTTTATTGAGTACATTGAACGTGCAATATGTTAACACTGGGTTATCATATAGGTCATGAAACCAAGCAAAAGGAAGATGCAACATAAAACATACTTGGTCTGTAATGCAAGCGTGGTAGGCTGGTTTCAAGAAATTTCATTATATTCCTAGAATTTTTCTTTAATATGATTTGGATTTCTGTATTAAACAAAACCCCAGGTGTCTCAAATAGAACCAAAAGACTGGAAAATTATGCTTGTGTCTTAGATTTAGTTACATGACTTGGATTAAATGTGGGGTCCTATGTGTACTAATGGTACTCTCTTATGCATAAAAGTTCAATGGCAAGATCAACTATTTTGAAATGTTGGGTTAACAAGATTAAATAACTGCTGAATGGATGATGCACAGGTGGTGACATAATCCTGAAGTCACATAACTATGGTGGAACTAAGCCTTTATATTAATAACAAGTGAATGCTTTATCTACAGGTGTTTTTTTCTGGAAGTGAGTTTCAAAAATAACGTAGTTTTGGAATGTTAGACAGGTTCTGAAGTAGCTAGCAGCAGAGGAACAGTTGAAAGGGCCAAGACAGTCATGTGTGTTTCTCAAAGGAACTGTTCCTGCAGTGTGACATTAGTAGGTTTAGGAAAGAGAAGCTCTGTGGTTGCTGTTGTCTAAACTGTTAATGCAAGGAAAATTGGTATTTTTTGAGCAGTAGCTATTTCTTCTTTCTGATGTAGTCAGTGGTATATTAAACCATAAAGAGAACATGGTTTTAAAACACTAAACGATGGAAAGCAATGAAAAATGGTAGATTTTGGCATAGGATTTGCTCCTAACTGATGACACATCGTATTTGTTCAGCTAATAACATTTATAAGCATCTTACTTGATATTAAATCTGAAAGTAGAGATAGGTTCTTAATCACACATATGCTCATGAGTGGAGTGAAAGGAAGGTGACAAAATTACCTTAATTTTATTGATGGGACTCTGTTTTCTTTTACAAGACAGGCTGTGGAAGAGGGTTGGTTCTGCTGCTTGAGCCCTGTTCCTGGTTTACAAGTGATTGGCCTCCCTTTGCCGTAGCAGCACTGACTGTACTTTGGAGGGCTGTGTAGCGTTAGTGTATTTGATGCAGTAAATAGCTGTGGTAGCATGGACAGAGGGAGCAGATCTGACTGCTAAATTATAGCATTCATTCTTTGTAAGAGAGGAGACATTTGCAACTTTAGAGTATATAGTTTTTGTGGTTGGTCAGCAACACCATAGTTAATGCTGTCTCAGGAGTTCGATCTTAGTTAAAAGAGTTACACTAGTATGTTCCTTTACCTCAGCTCATCTGTGCCTGATCCATTTATGATCAAATAATTAAACCACATTTTGAAAAACTAGCAAAACTAATGTACTTTCTTATCCATTGTTGAAGCCTTGATAACAACACAGGTTTAATTCAGCCTTACCTTTTGATTGCAGGGGGAAGAGTAAAAACATGGAAACGGAGATGGTTTATTCTGACTGATAATTGCCTGTATTACTTCGAATACACAACAGTGAGTATATATTACAGTAAACTTTGTTTGCAATCAAGACATTTAAGTGGCTAATAATGTGATAATTTCCTAATTTTTTAGGACAAAGAACCTAGAGGAATTATTCCATTAGAAAATCTTAGCATAAGAGAAGTTGAAGACCCTAGAAAACCAGTAAGATATTTTAATTATTTTTTTTTTACGGTGAAGATAAGTAAACCGTGTAGAACTTAGATATAGTGTTAAATGAAGATGTTTGTCAGTTTTGTGTTGGTGGTTTGTTTGTTTGGTTGGTTGGTTGTTGTTGTTTTAATTTATTTCCTCATTTCTACCCTCCAGAACTGCTTTGAGCTCTATAACCCCAGTCATAAAGGGCAAGTAATTAAAGCATGTAAAACTGAAGCTGATGGTAGAGTGGTGGAAGGCAACCATGTAGTGTATAGAATATCTGCTCCCACTCCAGAAGAAAAGGAAGAGTGGATTAAATCTATCAAGTGAGTTTAAAGCCTTAAATGTCTTTCAGAAACGGTGTGTAAACCCTTTTTGGAGTAAGATACTAAGAGAATTTGTATTCTGACTTGTTTGAAGAATTCTGATGTAGCAGTGTCCTCTAGGCTTAATGACAAGCTGTGTGTTGTTGATGGATCAAGATACAAATAGCCTGTTATTGTCTGGTTCTAAGGAAATAGTGCTACTAACTCAAATGATGAAAATGGGGATTTTTTTTTTTTTTTAAGCAGATGTAAAGCTTTGTGCAAATCATATTTAACCCTCATTTTATTAGATTCTTACTTCACCTAATAATTAACTTTAGTGACATGCATCTTAAGCGTGTTCACAGTGCAGCTTTAAACTTTCACAGCTTGACTTTATCTTGGAAGGTTTATGAAGCAGACCCACACTTAAAGAAATGCATAATGGTCAAGGTGAAGGTATGAACTCTTCTTAAGAAATCACAGCTGAGTAACATTTTCTTCTAAAGAAATATGTGTTATGTTTAGAAGTCAACTATCTTATTAAGATAACACATCTTATTAAGAGTATGGAGTCATCCACAGGGAAGAGAGAAGTAGTTTTAGTTTTCAAATCTAGATATTTGTTAACCAAACTGATGATTGCTTTTGTCTCTTCTAGAGCAAGTATCAGCAGGGATCCCTTTTATGATATGCTGGCAACAAGGAAACGAAGAATTGCAAATAAGAAATAAACCACGATCAGCAACTTGTATACCTGCATAAACTATAAATGAGCATACAGTTCAGTGATAATGTAAAAATTGGACTAATTAAATGAACACAATAACTGTAGATTTTATATATACACTTCACTATGACATAAAAACTGGGCGAGACCTTTCAGGGTAAGTAGTTATTGGTATATAATTGGAACTAAGCTTCAAATCCCAGGGCATGATCCTATTGGAATTTAATTCAACTGAAAACATGGAAGCCTTGTTTTCACTTTTTATTAGTTACAACTCCAGTTTACTTGGTTTGGGAGGGAAGGAATTTGAGGCTAATAATAAAATGCACTATACTGGTTATTTGAATGCAGCTCCCATAAAAGGAGGAGTGATTATAAGACCTTCATTTCTCACTAAAACGCAGCACCAAAAGTGGAGTACAGTATGATCTAGCACTTAATTTTTCTGTAAGCAGAAAAGCCACCATCTCAATATCAGTTTTCAAGTCTTGTATGTTTTGCAGTAAATGAACAGCTAAGTGCAGCTTTCATTTAGGAATTGCTCTCCTATCTAACAGCAAAGGTTTGAGTCTGTAGACATGACACTAAGTACAGACATGCTTTGATATTTGCCAGTAGGCTAAAATTGATTCCTGTTTGATCATACACTCACAGTAAACAGATTAAATGGTTTAATCTCCTTTTTATATAGTAAGATCTTTCTTATATTCTAGATATGTTGTAGTTTAATTAACACTAAGTTACTACTAAAAGAGTAAGATAACAGGGCTTACATGAGTTTAGGCTTTGCATGTGAAAATACCCCCAAATAATTTCACATGCATTTGATGTTTTTAAAGGGAAAAAGAAACAGAAAAATTAAATCTTTCTGTAAGATACAGCCCTAGATGGTTAAGCAAGTGGTATCCATTCCTTTGCTTGATGAGCTTTGGACATGCAGAAAAGTTCAGTATTTTTATTGTATTTTTAAAGGCAGTTTCTCAGATCTGTGTTTCAACAGCTGAAATTGAAAGAATTAGTAGACATCCTAACTTTTACTTAAATCATATCCTACACATGGATAACCTCATGCAATTAAACTTTCCCACAAGCATATCTTTTTTATTTAGTTTGTGGACAATCTGTGGTCCTACTGATAGTCTTTCAGCAACATGGAAGCTGCTGTGTAAGCGCTTTTCTGTTGATAGTGCACAGAGGTAAAGCCCCAACTTCCACAGAAAGGGTAAAAAGTGGGGGTTCTTTTGGACCCTACTGCTTCCATTAGTACTCAGGTTTTCACAAATTTGTTGGACCTGAGCCATGCCTGCTGTGCCAGCAAAGACCCAATTGGAAACCCAGTTATTTTCTCAAAGCAGTTTTGCTTGTTGGAGTTTCAGAAGCATCTCTGGATACATTAGAGGGGCATATGCTGTACTGGCAAAAGCACAGACTTACTGAGCTGATCTGTTTAAAATCTTTTAACTGTGAGAGTCTGTTTCATTGTTCCCATCTTAGTCATTTGCCTCATTTTGCATGAAGCGTCAGCCTGTGAATGTTTTGATTTGTTGCACGTCTGCAAAAAAGACCAAGAGGAAAAGAACCTTTTTACACCTTAGATTTTCCCCAGAGTGCATGGAATTGCAGTCTACTTGGATGAATGTTCAAATCGTAGTACTTTCAAGGGTGTAAAACTCAACCAAAGGAGGTAGAATCCTTGAATAAGTAACTACTGTGGGTGCATCTTTGCTTGCTAGAACACATTTAAACTCTTTATAGAAACGAGTTAACTTGCATGTCTTACATTTGCAAAGCAGCATGATTATGGAGCTGCTAACACCACTTGTTTGGAGTCTTCTGTTCTGCAACTTCAAGTGTTGCTTTTAAGCAACGCATACGTCAGTTTCAGCTTTGGACAAGTGGAGTTTTAATGCAAATAGTGATAAGCCAGAATCAGTGGTACTAATGAGTGTAAAGGTGAAAAGCAGCAAATAAAGTATTTCTGGAGAAATATGAGATTACAAAAGCATTAATAAGCCATGAAGCACTTCTGTATCAATTCTTGATACAAAATTCTTGATCTTCTGAAAGATCACCTTCAAGAAAATCTATTTATTTAACCATGTGAGGGTGTCTGCCTATAAGCATGAAGGAAGTGGCTCGAGAGTTGATTTGCTGTATTTAGTTTGAATTTCTTGTATCTGGCAGAAGTAATTATTTAGAATAACATGTAACTGAGGATATGATAGCAAGAAGTATATTATTTCTTAGCATTAAAATGCAGCATCTTAAACAGCTATTTGTGGTGCTCAATGTATCTATTTAATTTACCAAAGCTAATGGAAAAGCAATCTTGTGATAATATTTTATTTCAAATGTTCTTTGTAGCAGTATTAACAGGGAGTGAAACCAGCCCAGAATTTCCACTGGCCATGAGGCCAGTAAAACACAGTGGCTTGTGAAAATTTTGGCTAATTCAGGTACTATCCCTGAGGGTGAAGAAAAGTCTCTCCATCTTTCC